CAGCCCCTGAATTCGAGCACAGCCCACGACCGACATTGCACCAGGACGTTAGAAAGTAGTGACCCCTATACCATAAGAGGATGATACAAGTAAAATATTTTTCCAAGTCGCAGCGAAAAAGCATAAATTAACTAGATCGATCTTGGGATTTTGTAAATCGGTATTGAATCTTCAAAAACAGGATTGTGATTAATCATAAAATAACATTTTTCCCACTCCTACCTGTTACCAAAATGATACAACTGAACTATTGACCATCACTATGGACCGGAACACACACATACACAAAAATGCAGCTAACCCTAAACAAATGGATGCCATCGGCATGACATATTAATACCACGCAACAGAGGCTGAGCAAGTCCTTGGTTAACATCAGGCGTAGGATGGCCTACCAAGCTACCGTAAAATTAGGAATTTACAAAAAATCTGATTGACAATGGGTCGTATTAAGTTGACGTCATTGTCCAAGGTACGCATAAATGAAAACGAGGTGGCAGCCATTTTACCGGAGTGCGAGTGACAACAGCAGCAAGAAAACGTTCAGCAGCGTTCACGGTTTGACTTCTGAGATTCAGATTGAGTTCTAGGTAATTTTTTTTCGAACTGGTTGGTTCGACTTTGAAGAAATTCGAGTTCTAATGAGAGTGAGAACTGAGGTACCACTGTACAGCTTTTCATAGTCCTGAGCACTCGCTATACATTTAGTTTATATGAAACCTTCTTTAACGTTGAAAAGAAATACAGAACCTTACGCATCTGTGCGACGGACGTCTCCGACATTCCCTGGTCAAATGGCCGCTACGCACAAATACGCATATAACTTAATACAACCCATTGACTTGTCTTGGCAAATTTCTTCTAAGCATGGCCATGTCAGCGGGAATACAGATCGGATATGGCTCACATAATTTACAGTGGAAAACCGTCAGTTCGTGGTACGGTTCGGTTCTTGGTGACAGTGTCGTTATGTAATTTAGCCAAATTCAGTTTACTTGCAATGCAAAAAAAAATAAAAATGCCCCACAACGAAGAATATACAGTACATGCTGATTAAGAAAGTACATGTTTTAAAATGGCACATTTCAACAAGAAAACAATTTTCAAGTTTTTGTTCTCACACAGTAACACAGTAAAATTATTAAGTCACAGTTGCAGGATAGGTGACAGGCGCGTGGGGGGACAAAAGGACAAACAGAAGTGCAAAAAAGGCAACAGTGCAAACAAAAGGCAATATAAGAAACTACAAAAAAACATATAACAAAAAGGTGGTGCATTGGGGAAAGATGTGCAAATAGCATACTCGATATATAAAATCATGCTTAACATGTTGTAGCGTGGAGGTACCGGCGGCCAGCGCGGCAGATTGGACTGATGACAGCCCTGTAAATAGTTCTCCGTAGTCGCTTATATTGTAGGTAAATGTGCTGTGTCTTATGTCACATATAGTGTGGAATGTTTATTGATGTATTGCATAGGTGTGTGTGTATGTGCGCGCGCGCGCTCCTACTCCTAATAGGCATGGTGGGCAGTCTGAGTGCATTGTCAGTACAAGTGGTACAAGAGCAATAAACGACTCTTAGTGGTCAAACCCAGAACCGTCTCTGCCTGATCCTTGTACGCAACATGGCTCGGCGACCCACTTTTACAATATAAAAACGCATTCTCCAGTCCAAACAAATGACTCCCATTCAAGCTGCACCGTGAAAGAGTAGACATTCTCTAACCCAAACAGACTAAGAGTTAACAGATAAACGGTAAACTGACCCCCGTAGAATCCACGAACCTACCAACCAGCTCAGAAAAGACTACGGTCTATTATCACCAACCCCCAACCACAACCGCATGTTCTGATAAAAAAAGCAACGCAGTCCCTTCCAAACCCTCCCTGTGAGATTACGAATGCCATTTTAAAAACGGACGGTGAAGGTGGGATTTAATAGATTATTCACCTACAGTATATCTTCACAGTAACGAGAAAACGAGAGTCTTTGTCGCCATCTACAGACTCAATCTCAGTCAGGTCTCGGGCTATACTGAGATTAACACATTTATGTTTTATGTATTAAAAGGAATGAAAAGATCAAAGAAGTACAAACTAGTAAAAAAAAAAAAAAATACCATATATTATAGAAATAACAGTAAAGGTAAGCTAAAAAGAAAAAAATAACAATGGAAGAAAAAAAACAAAACGGAACTGATACAGCAATGATACATGAGAACACGAAAATAAAGTTAAATATAGTAAAATAATATGAGCAAATTAAAAAGTCAATCTAAATAGAATTCTTTCAAGTATGTTAAGTCACTCCGCTTCTTTGATGTCTTCTGGCAGTGTGTTCCTCGGTTTTGGAGCAGAATAGCTAAAAACTGGCAACTAGCAATAAAAGCATGCATCAATTTTTCAGCCGTATTACATGACAAAAAGAGATCTGATTTTTATCATACCTCTGTGTGAGTATTTTGGAGAGTAATAAGAATTAGGAACTTGAAAGAGTGTCTCTTATAGACTGTGTTCTTACTGAGAGACTTCAGTGGGAAGTGATAAAGATACCTTAGGCGTTATTACGTCACAGGCAGGCATAGGCAGACAAGGGGAAAACAAAAAGGGACTTTATTAAACAAAACAACAAGCAAGGCAAAAGGAAATAGGACCACAAGGGATCCAAATAGGGAAGAGAGAATCAGGCAAGAACAAAGGACACAGGGCAGACGGGGGAGCACATGCAGGCAGCAACATCAATGACTGGACTGGGGAGCTCAAGACAGGGAGGCACATTATAACACCACTGATGAGGGAGCAGACGAGAGGCACCTGCCAGTTCCCCATGCTCTCCCTGCCACGTGCCAATTTGAAATCATGACGTCACATGGCAGTTGGGACCCCGTGATATTCTGTGTTGCCTTGATAGTAGAACAGTAGAAGGAGACAAACAGATCTTTGCCGAACTTCTGCCGACCAGGTGTAGGGGCAGTGAGAAGTGGCCTCTTTTTCGTCCTCTGCGGGTTGTGTTTATGGTTTCATTCAACAATCTGACAGTCCTCACATGTGGATTAACTTATCTGGGGACACTAGGCTCACATCAGTATGGACAGTCAGATATTACCAATTAATAATTAAATTTTTAGTGGGGCGGGGCCTTTATGTTTGCTGTGACCCTAAGCTAGTCCTGCTAATTACAAAAACAATTTATAAAATATAAACAATGATTTATCCAGCTGCATTGAGTGGTTTGAATAATATCTGCTGTTTTGGTGTAAGCAGTTATTATGGTTTTTCTTTATGCATTTTTTTACTTTTTTTTTTTATTTATTAAGGATTGATCTGTTTATTCATGCATAATCAAGCCCAGCCTTCAAGTGTAACTTGTCATTTATTGCTTAGCAGACAATTTAAACTTAAAGTTATTTACTTTGCCCATATATATAGCTGGATATGTCTATTACTCGGGATTGAACAAGCAAAATTAGATTCCCAAATCCCTAGCATTATTTCTCACACTGCCAGCTTTAATTACAGTTATATTAATTACAAATCTTCAAACACATTCTCTAATGTATAGTAACTTTTGATGAACAGAAATACACTACATTTAAAAAAATGTACATTTGCTAGCTGTTTCAGTTAAAGGTGTTTCTGAGCTGCTGCAATTGTTCTGCATTTCATATAGTTTGAGACATGTCTAAAAAAGAAGGAGAAAACCAAAGACAGCCCTGGTGTTCTCTTGTATCTCTCATCCCTCATCCTGCACTTCTCCCCTCCAGTTCTCCATCTCCAGCTGCTCTACCACAGCTAATGTTGCTCTGGTGCCCCATCCAATCATTGAAGATGCCTGCCTTCTCTTTGTTTGCAGGGCTTTGGAGATGGAAGGAGAAAAGCAGCCAAACCCCCAATTTCAATAATTATCCATCCATCATTCTGCTCCTTCCACTACTGATGGTCAAAACGACGATTCGTGAACCATTTGCTGTATTTTCTATCCCCACTAGATGGTGCTGTTGGTTTACTTTGGGGCAGGTTTGAGTCCTTTTTTGAACAGATGGCACCATCTAGTGGGGCCAGAAAATACATCAAATAGTTCATGAAGCATCATATTGGCCATCATTACCTTGAGTACAGCATCTCAGGCAGGCTTGGAGCCTATCGCAGGCAGCACAGGGTACAAGGCAGTGGTGCATGCTGGATGAGATGCCAGTTCATCTGGGAACACACATGGTCACACAATATGGGAATTTTAGGGACTCTGGGAGGAAATCTGCAAAACGTGATGAACATGGAGTTCCCTGTGCTTCCTGTCCTAGACACACAACCCAGTATTAGATGAATGGTTGTGGAACATGGATAGATTACAGAAAATGGTACTAGTTAAAATTCATACGCATCCCTGTCAAATAGAATTTTATCAAAGGCAGCATATCAAATAAAGAGGTAAAACTCAACAAAATTACAATGGGCTCCCCTGTAAAGAAGTGAATATAATATATCAACTCATCACTCAAAAAAGACTCTATGGCCGACAAAGCTCTTTATTTTCCCACGTGACACACAGGAGGTAATGATACATATTTTGTGTTTCTTCTGTAAATCTCAACAAAAGGTGTAAAACCTGAAAAACAAACTGTGAAAATAAAGCATTTAAAGACTAAAGGTATTAAAAGACTAAAGAAGACTCAAGACAAAAAAGATTTTAGGATTGTCTTATAATAAAATACTAAAAATATTACTTCTCTTAAATGAATAAGTAATTTCTAGAAAATAATAAGGTTATTGTGGTAGAACAGTAACAACGTTGGGCAGGAACCCAAACAGTGATTATAATAGCTCCTATAGATATACAGTATATATTAAGTTTTTTACACAGTATCTGTATAAGCAATGAGAGCACATGGCTGAAATACATCCACACTCAAAGTCCCTCAGGATGAAATTTGTGTTACATCATGCAAGTTTATATGCAAAGCACCTGGCCAATGGCCAGGCTTTTCTGTCCAGTATTACAGATGGACGTTGGTGTTCTATTGCATCAAATGCAAGCATATTTTTATTTCATAAATGATTAAATCACTGTTTAAGGCAAATTTCCCAAGCTGATTGTCCTATTTGTAAATATCCTGCCAGACCACTCAAAATAAGGCTGATATGATGCAATGATGTGAATATCCATGGTAACTGATATGAAAAGACACATGAACTCCCAAGTGCTGTCCTTTGTCTGAAAATAAAAAAATTAGAATATGCTCCAAGCAAGAGGAAGTTGTGGTAACACGTCTACATTTAGTGTGAAAGATGAGGTCTGCTAAGCCATTGTGTACTAAGTACAAATTAATTGCTATTAATTACAAATTAAAGAGACCAAAATCATGGTAGAAACTGGACCTAAACAGGACAGAATTTAAGCATTGCTACTTTCGCTCCCTTTTCAGGGTTTTTTTTTTTTTTGTTCTTTTCTGTAATGAACAACAGATAATCTCTGCCACAGGTGTCCTTAGTGCAGGTGCCATTTGATTTCATTAACTCTGAGAACATTAGAACTTTAGCGATTCAATGATATACACTGTGGTGTGAGTAGCCAAACCTGTTACTGAAGGGAACCAATTGTTTTAAAGAGACCAGGTGAATCTTCTGGATAATTAGTTGTCTTAATTCTCCATATGGACACTCCTCTGCAGATTTAACCAATCCCCAGAAACAAGCCTGGCTACATACGAATTGAGTTATTTCTGTGACTGAGATTCTGTGTTCCCTCATTGTGGAGAGGTTTTGGTTTTGCAAAGGCCTGCACCCCGATTTTGAGAATCAGGGCTGGCTAAAGCTGGGGCCACCCGCCTCTAGTTGAAACACTCAACGTAGTTTGCTGGAAGCATCCCAGATTTTCCTGTCCTCTGCACCGTCCCATACATCCAACCCTCGTCAATGGATTGGGCGTTGATGATGATGTCACCATCGCGGAAGGATACCTCATCGTGGTCCTGTGCCGCATAATCATAGAGCGCCCTGTAGACTCTCTGCTTGAGATACAGACACAGTGTTTGGCAGGGAGGTTATTGTCCTTATTGTCCTTATGACCTATAACTCGATTAACAGGGTCTGTATGAGGGACTTACCATTGTTGCAGAGTGTGGGGTTGACTGTATGGACCTGGCGGAGAATGTGCTGGTTTGGTGCATGTACCCATACCCCTTCTGATGTCCACTGTCATGGTACGCTCCAGGCTGCACGGGTGCTGGGGGAAAACAAAGGGTAGAATCCACAGGACAAACGTCACGTGAATGATTTAATAGCTGTTCTATTATGGTGCCTGGGGTTGGAGCACAAAGGCAACAATGGCTGACTTGATGTCACAGCACTCAAATCCAGAAAACTCTTATAACAGCCTATGGAAAACACAGAAACATGTTGATTGTCGGATAATCGATTTGGACTGAAAGACAAATTGTGGGCTGTCTCTGCTGAGGAAACATCACTGTTAGAAACTGATCACACCCAAACCTGGCTCTTTACAGTCGTTATGACACAGCAGCTGTGAGAGACGGACAGTGAGCACTAGTTAAAAGAGGCTAGTTACATGTGACAAGCATTTCTGGGTACCATACGTGGTTATTATTACATCTCAAGCACACAGAACACAAATGATAACTGGCTGGAAAAGACTGGGGTTTTTATTTGTTTTATTATAACCTATACTATACTATACTATACTATACTATACTATAATATACTATACTATACTATACGATCATAACCTTATTGTAATTAATTATGTATATAAGATTTTCTAGCACAGAAAATAAGTAAAAATGATAAAACCCCTTTCTTCCCTGCCAGTTTAAAACAAGAATACTTTTCATTACATGCATCAAAATTTATTTATAAAGTATTTATAACTGAAGTATTTATAAATTGAAGTATTTATTTGATTTATAAAATCCGCAATCCAGGGCATAATTTCTGGAATGGTGTTGCTGAGTGTTAGAAGCACCATGCGGCTGGTTTCTTCCTGTTGGTTGCATCTCATTTCCCACTATTGCCTGGTATCCCAGTAGGTAGCTGCAGCAGTGGTGCTTACGTCCGAGCTTTTGGGGCCTCCTGTTGGCCAAAAACAGTCACTACACAAGGGGGAACTCAAAGGGGCTTTTTGAGAGTGGCTCCAGAAACAACAAACCGGCCACTGGGTGGAACAAACAGGGTGGCCAAGCGGTGATTTTTAACAAAGGCGTGCATGAGACCATGCAGGGGTTTTGCAGTACAACCCTCTGTGTGAACTACCTCTGTCCTGGGGGAGCAAAGCAGAGCCACTGCTGCAGACAGACAGACTCTTATCCCCCAGCTCCGAGCCCAGCGAACTCGCTGGCCGGGACTGGGAGTGCTGGGACTGCTGGCGGCCGTAGTGGACAGCGCGTTCTGCCAAGTGGCCACAAGAAGCCGAGAGCGAAGGAGAAGAGCGGCGATGAAAGAAGAGGGGGAAAGTGTCACAGGCTTAGAGAACAGAAGGAAAGCAAAGGTAGGAAGAGGCAAACATAAAGCAAAATAAAATGAAAAAAAAAATCAAGCAAGGTAAAGCAGTACCCGTGAGCTTCTGCAGACTTTTAGACTGAATGTTATCCTCCACGGGATCAAAGTCAAAGATGGATCCTGGATCTGTCCGCCACACTTTTAGGTCTTTCACCAAACCGAGACAAAGTCAGAATCAGTCAGAAAGGGAGGCAGCGAGAATCAAGCCACCTGTGACCACTTAGGTGGTGCTTACCTTCCCGCAAAAAGACAAGTCACTTACAGAGCACCTGTATTGTTATTATCTGCTTAGCACGCAATAAAGGTCCTGTACCTGAGACACCACTGGAAATAAAATGTGGAATCAAGGACATCGCAATAACCTGAAAATTCCATAAAATACTTATATCCCACCACTGCCGAATTCTCAGATCTGATTGGTCAGAAGGGTGTTTGTTGATTGATTCTCTATAACCAATATAGCCAGGCATGCAGTCCGCTGTGCAGTGGCTGGTTCTCTGCCAGACAGGCAGATCACAGTAGTAAATCAATGAACTTTTACAATCTGTAATTCTAACTAATGTTACTTAAAATTCCAGACATAGAACACAATTTAATTATTGAAAACTGAGCAAAATGTCTAATCATTGGCAGTAGAAATAAATGCATTTTCAGCTCACAAAAGTGTGTTTAAAAATGCATGATGTGTGGCTTGTCATGTATGAACCCTTATTCAGACGAGGCTTTGGAGGACCGGAAAGGGGGGGTCACTCACCGACAACGATGCCGGGTCGCCGGTCCATCTCCACCACATGTGGGTGAATCCCCTTGTACGCTGCGTCACGCATCACTCGCCCATCCCGCCGACTCGGCTCGGTCGTTGCCGAACACATCCCCCGGCCCTTTGTCTTCTCAAAATCCTCATGGTACTTTGCCTACAGGACGAATCATTGTCAGTGCCCATATTTTAAAGTGTCTAATGGATTAATATTTTCCCCCTTTTCATCCATTACGGCTGTCCTCCTACACACTCTCGCCCACTTGTGTCCATGTGGCAGAACACGCTGATCAAAAGTAATTTGTGCTTAACGTTCAGATACATGCCCCCAGTCAGTCCAATCACACACACTCGGGTTAAAGGTGCATTTAGTCAGAGAGGTAATTAAATCCACACATGAGACCAGTGGTAAGAAAATGTTTTATTGCATAAATGTTTGCAGAGCAATCCTATAAATTCTCCAGTTTTCTGGATATGAAGGATATGCGTTTTACCCTCTGAAGTTGGGGTGGGGGGGACTGGGGAAAGTGAGGGGCAGCAATCCCAACCAGAGTGGTCTGTGAGTCACGTTACTCCACACTGGTCAGCCACCACCGGTGCTACACCGGCTCTGCATGCTACCATGGAGACGCTGCTCTGTGATTCCCTGACACGCCTCAGCTCGGGGGTATCCACGGCAACGCAGCCCCGCCCCTTCATTTCCTGCAGCCCCTGCTGGTACTTCACCTACAAGGCAACAAGAGTAAATGGTCACAGGACTCGGCACATGGCTCAGGTCGGAGGTTCAACTGGGACCCACAAAGCACAGAGGACCAACACCGAAAGCCATAAGACGTTGGTGAGAATGAGGCTTCAAGGAAGGCTGGTCTCAGTAATAGTGGGAATAATATGAGTTCTGCTGAACCACAGAGAGCACAAACGCCGTGTTCCGGTTGGTCAGCAAGGGCAGACTTGCCGTGCTGAGGTTTTCCTGGTTTTGTCGGACTCTTTCCATCTCCAGGGTCACGCCAACTGCTGTGGGATGTCCCACCTGCTTTTTGTACTTCACCTGTAGGATAACATGGGCATTTGTAACCCAGAAGATAAGCTTGGAGCATCACAGGGCACGCACACACACGCACACACGTTGGCATACCTATCTAAATAGGGACCTTCCATTCATTTCTATGGAAGAAACCCTAATCCCAATCATGAAAACCTTAATACCTACCCAGCCCTAACCTTAACCATAAGTAACCAAACAAAATACAAGATTTTTGGCATTTTTACTTTTTGATTGCATTCACAATTTTTTGCAAAATAGAGGTTATCCAAATGGGGGCCTAAAAAATGTCCCCACAAGTAAGGAAGTTTCCGGTTTTAACAAACTTTGGGGACATTTTGGTCCCACACACACACACACACACTCTAGGCAATTCAAAGACACCAGTTCACCAAAGTGCAAGTCTTTTGGTACCAGGAGGAAACCAGAGTACTTGAAGGAATGCCACACAACAGAGGGTGAACATGCAAACCCCAAGCACAGAGGGACACAGGAATGGGATCTGAACCCCTAAACATGAGGTATTACACCACTGTGCTAGTCATTATATTTTATTATATTTTAAATAATTTCATTAAAATATCATCTTCAACGTTCATTCTGCCAGTAGGACAGGCATGTCTGGACCCTGGTCAGTTTTCAAGGTGGTATCTCACGGAGCTGATGTTCTGCTGGTTCTTCCGGACCCTCTCCATTTCCGGGGTGTCCTTCACTGCGATCCCCTTTCCTATCTCCTTCTTGTACTGGACCTGGATATTGACAGAAAAGAGACACCACAACACAGCATCAGATATAGCCTGTAGCTTTTATAACAGGCTAAAATGTCGCCTTCATCAAACAGCATGTTTAATTTTAAGTGAAATCCGGGTCATTAAAATGGTAGTTTACAAATTCTGTCCTAGTTCAAAATGTATGTAGAGAGATTAATCTCAGTATTACTGACAAATGCATGTAGCGCGATCCGTGTGTAACGCACTTCACAAATGTGTTTTACTATCCACACACCAATATCTCTCAACTCATGTCTTATAAACTGTAATTTGAAAAATGCGGAATAATTTATACTAATACATGAACAATTGCCTGGACAAACTTTCTATTTGTACAGATTCTTCATGACTTGCATGTGTGTATTTTTGCCACGAGCTTAGTTTCAAATGTACAACCGGTTTGTTAAAGCTTAAAAGCGCATGCGTGGATCATGTGGCATGCATGAATTCGGTGATGCATTTTTGAGATTTCAAAGCTGCTGATCTACATGTAGCTCTGTCCTGCATGGTACTGCTAGGGGGCGCTAATGTGTCTATAACCCAGACACATGAATCATCTGGTCACGTTAAAGGTGGAACACAACAGTCCCTGGATTCAATCGAATGCATTTCATCCAAAACTTCTGTTTCACCAGAATCCTTTGACTGCATATGTCAACATCTTGAACCTAAAATCCTGAGAGCAAGAACCAGTTTTTGATTGTGTATACCTGTAAGGAAACGTGTTGCAATCACACTTTGGCAACTGTTTACCAGCAAAGAATACAGAACAGTGGGGCACTTTTAAACTTTGCCTTTCTATGCAGTTTTGTGTTATTATAGTTTTGTTGGTGTTTTTTAGTGTTTCTACTTTAACAATTTGCTCTGTACTGCAAATGCAGCCTACTTTCTCCAGCTCTGTTTTCATTTCTGCATGCTTTAACAAACACTAAAATCAAACATAACAAACACCACAACAAATACAGCTCTCCTGAAGTTTATAGCACATTGTAGCCCCTCCGCTCAGCCAAAGTCACTGGTTCGCAGTTTCTGACCAGAAATTCTCTGGTGCTGTGCTGAAGCCAGTTTTTCAGGCATGGGACCACTTGATAGGCAGTGGAAAAGTGTGGAACCAGTTCCAAATTAGGTCCTGGTTCAGCACCAGCACCAGTACCACGTTGGTGGAAAAGCTTACTTGAGAATAGCTGATTTAAAATGTAGTGATGGCCAAATGAAGCTTCAGGAACCATTTGCTGTATTTTCTGACCCAATTGGATGGTGCTCTCTTCAAAAAAGGGCTCAAAGCATAAACTCAAAGCACCATCTATAATGAAATATAGTGTCTTTTCCTTCACTTGGTACTCTACTGCAGCTTGCAACACTGCATATGGTTTGCAGCACTAAACCCAGACAAACCAGTGATTTTTGAAAAATCACCCGGACACCCGGACATGGACCCAAAAACACGATGTGTCTGGAAAAACCCAGACATACAGTATGGTGACCCTATGTGGCATGAATGTAAATCTGAAACAGCAGGATGTGTCTTTCAATCAAGGAAACAAACCAGTCGAAGCACAAGAAGAACTGAACTATTTAGCCAAGCACAGGAGCCTTTCAGTTTTAAGGTACAGACGCTCCTCTACTTGCGAATGAGATACGTTCCGAACAGCCGTTCTTAACTTGAAATGTTCATAAGTCGTTATTCAACATCATTTTAAGGGTATACGCAAGTACAAAGAACTAGGATACAGGAGCATCTGTAGTTTGTAAAACTTGAAGAGGCTCAAAGTGTCCTTCCTGACATGGATTATCTGTTCACCCTACCCACTGATGGCTTGTTCGTGGATATTCCCAAACAAAGGGTGATGCCCGTCTTCTGTACAACTACAAAATCTACACAGCAAAAACACAATAAATAATTGGTTATAAATATTAATTAATAATGCTTTGTAATGTAGCTAGCTAATGTTTCGTAAAAAAATAACTTAAAAATCAGCACTTATGTTAGAATTAGCCTAAACAGGCTCCATCAAAAAACATTTAACAAACTCAAAAATGTTACATGGCTGTTGTTGAGCCCACTTCCAGTTTAGCCAGTGGAAATGCAGGGCCAGTTTTCAGGTGGTTCTACTTTGGCACCACCTGAGAACCATCTCCCTATAAGCACTGGTTTGACACTAGTGGAAGAGAGGAAAAACCATGGTATTCATACCACCAGTGGTGGCATACAAAAGCAGTCATTTCTTACGGTGATTCAGGTTACTCCCATTTTTTTCACCTTATGTAGTACTTGTCTGCTTTGGCAGGATTTGAAAGGGTACTTGGTCCAAAAGGTTTGAGACCCCCTGGTTTAGAACATCAGAGACCAAACTGCTGTCTTACTGTGCTGATGTTTTCCTGGTTCTTCCGGACCCTCTCCATCTCAGGAGTGTCGGTCACCGCGGTTCCCCTCCCAACCTCCTCCTTGTACTGGACCTGGACATTTCCAGCAGGTTTATAGCAACACAGTATAAAACTACAATGTTCAACTGAACACCGAATATTGTATTTCTAAAACCATGATTAATATAGGCCACTTACAGGTCGATACACAAGATGAGTGTTAGAATATCATGCTGGGTAATTTATCTTTATGGAAACAAGGTTTATGAGGGTGATCATCACTTCAGGAACAAACCGCCACATGCTGACAGTGCTGCTTACATGGCTGATTTTCTTTGCGTTTTCCCTAGCGAGGATGATTTCTGGGGTCTCTGTGACAGATGATGTCAGACCTCTGAGTAACTTGGAGTCCCATGTATATCGTATCTGAGAACAGAAATACGAATGAGTGTTATTAATATAAATAATAACAATGGGGAGTTTCTTTGTCATAGTTACTGAAAAAGAATTCCCAAGTTCTGAGAAAATTATCCATTAAGCACAAAACCTCAGACACTGGCTACAAAGCTAATGAAAACGCAGCATCATGTTCTGTGGGTCACAAACGCTGAGAAAAGTTCTGTTTCACACCCACGGTCAGAAGAACTCCTCAGTTATTGTCAGACATAGCAGGGATCACAGGTTCTTTCAACTCAAAGATCTCTTGAAGTTAAAAACCTTTGTTTGAAACTTGCAGGCTCCTTATGAGCCAGGGCTGAATGCACATTCTGGGATATAATTCCAAAGATGCTTTCTAAGTATCTGGGATTTTTGAAAATCTGCTTACTTTAAGTACTCAGTACTGGGAAACGTAGCTCCTTGAAAAAAATCAATGTCTGGTGTTTCACTCACCAAGTTGGTGCTAACTTCTATACAATATTCTATACAATAACAAGAAGACCCTGAACAGAAGTTCTGAGTGAGAAGCCAAAACAGAGAAATATGTGTTCTATGGTGGGTCTCTATTAAAAAAGGTACCTGAGCAAAATGCAGAGTCACAATGCAGAACAAACATAGCTATGTTCACTGTGTAATAAAGTGGTGAGTGACGCACTGAGCTGATGTTCCTCTGGTTGTTCCTCACTCGCTCCATCTCGGGCGTATCTGACACCATTGCATACGCACCCTTCAGCTTCTCTGCCTCATCTTTGTACTTTTTCTAGTGCAGAGAAAAAGATGTTTAATCAAAACCAGGTAATCAATAACCCAAGAAATAATCATTTGTAACCCGGCTTTTCATGTCACATACATGTTAAAAAACATAGATGTATGACAGATTAAAATGCGTCTCGCTTTGATCTTACGTATTCCTCTAAACTTAAAACCAGTCATGTCTAATGTAGGGAAAATGTGATCACATCCTCTGATTGTATGTGTGCATTGGTGTGGACACTCTACCTGGCTGTACACATCCTTAAGGTAGGAGGCATGCAAGAGCTCGGGAGTATCCGTAACTGTGCCGTAGGCGCTTTCCCTCAAATCGGACGTCTGCTTATATGTTGCCTGTATTTTCAAATTAAAAGTCAAAAGGATTTCAAACATTTCATATTAAAAGTCAAGGTCAAATGAAAATCTTAAAGTCGAACATCAAATGGATGTTTTTCTTCATGGTTACTGTGCTAGATATACACACAAAATCATCTCTCACGTTGTTTTTTTTAGTATGTAATTACAATGGTTTATGTTTTCCAGGATGTGAGAAGGGTAATTCTTAGTGGTTCTTTGTGATATCAGTGCTCTTTCACCTAAACATTTGTAGAAATAAAATAGGAAATCTCTAAATATCAGAACAAATGAATGATATGATCTGGATTTTAAATGTTAGTGGCACTATTTAGATGAGAAAAATCTAGACGATTCTCTTCTCCTTTGACCAACAATACGATCAGGGAAAACACACATCCTGTTTACATACAGGGTGACATTTTTCTGGGTAAAAATAGACAGTTACTGTGACTCTTTTGATTCAAAGCATGTCATCTGCTGTTAATGTTTTTGGTGAAGATCCCCTCACCTAAAAAAAATGCCAACCCTATCTTAAATCACCTACTGTTGTGTTAGTCTTAAAAACTAATTGCATTGATTGTTTTTCCTCTGAACATCAAATTAATACCTCAGGGAGATAACAGAAATGCATATGGGGACATGCCCCATTAAAAAGGGGAGTATACAGTACATGAACTGAATCTGAATAAAGTTATCCCAATATCCTGTACAGTGAAAAGAAATTTTTAAATCATAAATTTTTATCTGGGTAGTTAAGTGTATATTTGCTCAAAAAAACACAATCAACATTACAACACATGCAAATGAACAGTAACAAAATAAAAAATAAAAATTTCTTCTGTTCTCGAAAAAGTTACTGATATCTTGCTGGATGGCTGGATGAACACCGCTTCAGTTCCCACACCTCTCTTCAGGGGGCCCCCAGCCATTCCATGTATTCATTCATCTGCATCACTAGCTCACTTAATTAACTTACTTAGGTAAATAACTTACGTGGTACTGATTAGTCAAACTAGGTGTGGGCGAGTCAAAAAACACATGGGTATATTGGATGATTGTTGTGAATACTGGGGTGACTTTAGGAGAGATTCTGAAATGGCTAAGCTTACACCCTTTGACACACTTCACCAACATGAATACTATCTACGCATTATTGTCTTTGACTGTCTGAGACTTTTTCACAGTACTGTACGCATCACAGACTGAGAACAGAATGATGTTACTTTGACTGCTGTTGCATACATGCACTGTCTCCTCATCCTCCCTCTCCACTTTTCCAGACCCCACCCCCACATCTGTGCTGACCACCATGCCCTTCCCCACAATCTCAGTCTCCAGGTCTTTACGCAGCAAGAACCATTGTAGTTTCACGACTTTGAATATACAATCTAATTGTGATTGTGGCTTGTGCTGGATAAGTAGTATGGATAGAGGAATGTATGATATCCAGATGTATGATATCCAGACCCCTAAAACACCTTCAGCAGTTGAGCAGGAACCCAAATCTGAGTTAGTACATTTTGAAATATCTTAATGCTTCCTAGGATTTTCACGTAATTATGTACCATCTCATATTTTCAGCTTTGCCACTGACGCAATTATACTCATCAGTACTATGTGCAGTGAAATGCATTGCTGCCTAGGCGACAGTATGAAGTATTAACAGACATTAGTATAAAGAGACAAGACATAGAACATTAAACAATTATCATAAATATCCATAATGTGCAATTGCCAGCAAAGTGGCAGGTAGTGCAAGACTTTAAGAATAAATAAGTATTTACATATATAGAATGTACATGTGTGAGTTGAGTAGGATGGATCTTTGAAAGGTGCAATAGTAACCTCCCAAAACTTGACAGACCAATAAAATTAAAGCTCGGAATACTTTTTTTTTTTTTGCTACATCTGCTAATAGTTTGCATGGTGCAATAACAGACCATGTAGCCCCAGGAAATCATTGTTTTGTCTTGCTTGAGGTAATTTGATGAATTCATGTGGAGCATTTTTATAACAGGCCAGCCTTGCAATGCACTTTGTAGTGTTGTGCTATGCTGTCTGTAGAGTTGTTAGACACCTGGTCTTCCGACTTACCTGGCTGGCCAGCTGCGAGGCTTTTCTGGCCCTCTGGATTTCCGGCAGCTCGGTGCTGATTTCCATCCCCTTGCCTCGGATCTCCGTCTCCAGGTCCTTCCTGTACTCCTTCTGCAAGGCATAAGGTGGCTTATGTAAATGTTCTTCACATCTATGAGGTAGATAAGCACTTTTCATCTATGATAAAGTCAAGCTAGTGAATGCAAGTTGAGCTTCGGGTATGAACAGCACCTCACTGAGAATCTGGCTGGCATTCTTGACTCTGAGAAGATCTGGTGTTTCCTCCAGCCCCAAGCCTGAAAGCCCCTTCCCTTTAACCCCCATCTCCAAGTCCTTCCTGTACTCTTTCTGCAAAGTGTACATGTGGGTTGTCGTCAACAGTAGGGTCATTATCACTTGAGATTTAATTTTTTTTTTTAATTCTTAAAATGAAATGACACTTTTTGTTTTTTGGGTAGAGCAATTGACTTCACCTTAACTTTTTAGATATATTTAAATTATGTCAAATTTATTGATTGATCTTTTAACCATTTCCCCAAAACAAGGACTCCAAAAAATAACATTACTGACGTTTATAAGTCTTTCAACTCCTTTAATAATGATGACACTTCATTGATCCCTTGTGGGGAAATTCTCTTTTTTTGCCCGTCTTGCTCTCCATGACACACGTGTAGGTGACAGTGAGCTTGGCGGTGAAGAGGAGCCACCTGCAGCCCCATGGAGCTGGGGGGCAGGAGCCTGTGTCACTATTCTGCCAACACTGGGTTTGAACAGGTGACCTTGAAATCACAAGTACTGAGGTGTGACCTGCTGAGCCACACGCTGCCCCCATTAGTGCACGTAAACCACATTAAACAATTTGCAAGAAAAAGTTAATTTTGTAAATATATTGCTCAGTTTTTTATTTTGTCATTTTTTAATCATCTCAGTAACTTGCCCTGCATTCGATGAAATACTTTTGTTTCTTGCAGAGATTAATTGTAATAATAGCAAATATTAATAAAATTGATTATTTACCCAAGAGGTAAAATGTACAGTTTAGACAATGAAGCTGTATACTGTCTGTCTTTATAAAAAAAAATATATAAATTGATATGTTATGGCAATTCATTTGTGACAATGACCCAGTAATGTTTTATGTCCTTGTTTATTGTTTATCTATTGTCTATTTTGATAGTCTTGTCTTCAAGCTTTCAAGTTTAAGGAACACAGTGAAATGCTTATGCCACAGTTTCAGGGTCCAGGGTTCCCTGGATTGGCAGTACCTCGCTGAGGATCTGGCTGGCGTTCTTCACCCTGAGCAGGTCTGGCGTCTCCTCCAGGCCCAGGCCCGAGAGTCCTTTTCCCTTCACTCCCATCTCCAGATCCTTCCTGTACTCACGCTACAAACGACACAAGAACAAGAGGAGGGCATCCATGACTCCGACTCAGCGGTGTGCTCTGAGGAGAAGAGCTGAGGAAGTCAGGAAGCCTTTGAGGTTCGCTGTACAAAACAGCATTAAGGAAATACAAACAACGTAAAGGGAAAACGAGGAAATGTCTGCTGTTGTTGTTGTGAATGGACTGGAAGTATAAATCGCAGAGACCAGAAACCCAGACTAACTTATGATCTCGGCTGAATTAAACAAAAATTCAAATGCATCATTACTACAATGCAGCACTGATACATCCAAAATCAGAAACAATGTATTGCCAGGATTGTATGTGTACATGTGTTTAAAATAAAACAGAAATAAATACATTTCAAAATAAAAGTTTTGAATTTAAAATACATTTTTCTTTCTTTCCAGACAGATGGGCTCCCCCTTTGAGTTTGGTCCCTCCCAAGGTTTCTTCCTTCTAGGGAGATTTTCCTTGCCACTGTCGCCTATGGCTAACTCACTGGGGGCTTTGGGTGGGGATGCTGTAAAGCGCTTTGAGACGATGTAATGTTGTGATAATGCGCTATACAAAAATAAATTTGTTGTTGTTGTTGTTGTTGATGTAGTGGTTTGCTGAATTTTGTTTTTTTATTGTTTTTTTTATATTTAGCTGAATACCGATCTTTTCTTAATTTGACAATTATTTCCACTGATATACACGAAAATGCTATTTAATATGTAATCAAATAATGAAGATAAATTCAATCTTCTGTTGTGATATTTGTCCTCTAAAACAATCTTAATTACTCTATAAGAACCCAGTTCTTATTTAAACAAGAAATTACTGAAATAACTCAAAAACTCTGTACTACTAATTTGTTTAAAAATATCAACTTCTCAGTTTTTCTGTCTGCTACACCATGATGTTTTCATTTTTTGTCTTTATCATTTTACACATGGAGAACTGGCTCGTTTTGTTCATCGCAGCCAGTGTAAAGTGCATCATGAGATCAGTACCATAATCCTATGTAGGTCTCAGTCCGAAGATGGCTCCCGATGAAGGAGCGTACTGAGATGTTGGATGCATGGTTAGGAAGGAGCTGCACTGACCTCATTCAGGAGGCCTCCAGCGTATCTGGCATGCAGGTAGCTGGGCGTCATGTCCACCTCCACCAGCGCCCTGCCTCGGATGCCCTCATCGTACTGCTTCCTGTACTCCTTCTGATGACAGTTAATATGAGATAACGCCATTCTTCCACCATCACAATGAAGGCTTTCTGCTGTACAGCGGTATATATTTTCATGGTGTCATGTGGGAGTCATGTTTAGTGGGTAATAATGTAAGGTACAGATATCCTACCTCACTTTGGAGTTTCTGAGCTTCCTTGCAGACTTGGTAGGACTCTGTGTCCACAAACTCCAGCTGTGACCTTCCCTTGTTCTTCTCATACTGCTCTTTATACTTCACCTGCAAGCAACACTCATTCTGCATTGGCTCTATTGACAGACTCATAGAACAGGAAGCCTCTGAACAATGTGGTGTTTTTCTTTTCTTTTCATTACTTCAATATCCGTCTTTGTCTTTTGGGTTTAGATACTTCAAAGTTTGCACACAGCCGGTATTTACGCTTAAGCCGATGTCTGGGTTACACAGGGTTACCAGGCTATTTACAATGGGGGAAATTCTCTGAATTACAGTCATGGTAAAATTGTCCAGCAGGATAGCAATGAGTCATGCAAAGGAATAAAAAAGCTAAGATGTAAAATTATTTAGGATCTATAGGACTCATCCTGACCTTGGCCTCAGACGGGCAGTGGGAATACTGGGAGACATGGCGGATAAACAAGCCAGTGATATCATTACTCTGCTGGCTATGGGATTTGAACCTGTGACCTTCATGACGCAGCCTTCTAACCTACAGAATTACACACCACTGAGAGGAAATGTGGTGTGTGGCTTTGTACTGTAGGTTAGGAGTCTGTGTCCAGAAAGTCATAGGTTCAAATCCCATAGCCAGCAGAGTAACAATATCACTGTTGGGCCTTTAACTCCACCCCCCCCCTCAAAAAAAAAAGCACTGCTGCTCCAGTGACAATGGATAAATAGCTGATTCTGACATCTGAGCACGATGGGATATGTGACAAGTAATAAAATCCTATATACAGTACCTATACTAATATCAAATGAAGTGTCATTAATAATAAAAAGAGTAAGGAACTGAAGACAGGCTGACTGGCTCATTGGCGATGTTGACCAGCACTGCAGGGGGGGAACTGAGAAACAGCTGACCTGGCTGTGCAGTACCACATTCCCCCTGTGGTGGAGCTGTTCCATTGTGTCTGGAGCACAGTGATATTTTCCTTTGGATTCTTCATACTTCTTCTTGTACTCCACCTGGAGAGAGACGGGGCAGAGCAGGCCAGGAGTCTAAGGAGTCTGCGCCAATGCCAGAATGTCATCATAACTGCAACATTGCATTTTTATAGTCCTTAGTGATTTTAATATTTAACCTTCTTTCTAGCAGTAACTGCAGATGTATGACAGGTGGTATCCAGATGTTTTTCTATATTAATTGCCAGATGATATTGATATTTTATTAATTTTCCAGATATGCTGTCACTCATGCCTGATGTTTATTAAAAATGTTTTTGCATGGCTTTATTAATCTTTGATTATATTGCTGATACAATGAAACATTTTTATGTATAAACAACTTAAAACTTTTGTCTGAAAATAAATTTAAACACTAGAAATTATAAATCGCAAATACACGTACAGCACAGAGTATCAAATACAAGAAATATCCCAGTATGGCAATAAATAATTGTAGCTTTTGTCTGCTATTGCAGCTGGTACTTTGTCGTAATGTCAGTAATGATTAGCTATGTCTTAGCTTTATTTTATTTATTATCTTTTTTTAAAGGTAGTGGTGTCTTCTGCCTGCTTTTTTTAATGTAGTTTTAACATGGGGTTTCCTCATTCGGGTGTTTGTTTTAGCATGTCGCTGTCGATTCGGGATGCAGTACATTGCTCTGTAGCTTGCTGGCCTGCAGCACGTGAGCCAGTTGCACCAGGTTGGGCAGATCTGATGACGGCTCATGCATCTGCTGAAGATCCTTTTTGTACTTCACCTGATTGGCCACAAAATGAATGGAAACACAAACGAGAATTAAGGGTTAAAAATGATTAAGGGTTAAAATCCCCATTGAAAGACTAAACAAACTACATAGTAGCCAACATTGTCTGGCTTATGGTTACTTAAATGTATCCATGTAAATATAGATATGGGGCAGAAGGATGTTTCACATAATTGCAATTCATTTTCCAAAAAAAGCAGTGAGTGAAGTTAATTTCTGTGGCTTTCAAACTAACAATACCATCTCTAAATGGAATCAATAGGCACCATTTCCTCTTCTACCCAAAACTAGCAATTTGTCTTTAAAAGGTTCCCATGGAAACTGCTGCCCGGTGACATGGAAGCGCTTTGAAATGTAGTAAAATTTTAAAAGGTTGAAGTCACAGAAAAAGGCTTATTGAAACTGTATGGCATTCACACTAAAAGGCACTATTGTCGTCTCAATGCATTGTTTTCCCGGTGACAAGCTGAAAAACACACACACACCCACACACACACACCGTGAAATGGTATAATTTAGATCTCTTATCTTCCAGTGGGTCGAAAAAGTGAAAATCTATCTTTTGGTAAGTTTTTGAATACCCCAAATCTTTCTTTCTGGATTCACAAACACTTCCTGGAAGGGGAAATTTATACTGATCTATTGAAATAAGATGCATCAAGCCATAATACAAGCTGGAAGAATTTGAAATGTAACTGTTTTCAGTGGTTTCATTGATTTGTATGGGTTAATTACATTGAACTCAATATAATCGTCAGTGGATTTTAGCATCTGTGGCTGAAGCAAAATCAGCCTCTGCAGGTTTACCTGACTGGCCAGGGCAGAGGCGTTCTGGATATGTCTGAAGGACACACAGTCTCCTGGATTGTACTGAGGTTTTTGCCCTTTCTGTTCCTGCTCAAACCTCTCCTTGTATTTCACCTGGGAGACAACGAGAGGCCACAAGGTCAGAGCTTAACTGGAGCATCGATCCAAACTCTTCCCGTCTCAGCACCCAGCAGACGTCTATGTTTATCTACTCTATAGGCAGGAGTACCGGGTAAATTTATTATCCTAATTCCGGGCAGTCTGCAGCCATGAAAAATGGAGTGAATCTAGACTCGTCGTGTTTAAAAACTAGATCATTATCTATTTGAAACATCTACTGATGTGTCCTTAGACTAGATTATTAGGTATAGAAATGCCCTGAGACCTAGAATGTTCAGTAATATAGACAGGGAGGGAGGGAGGGAGGGAAGACGGACAGACAAACTTTATTAAGTTTAATGCTTTATTAATCCCCAGAGGGAAATTCCCTCTTGTCTTGTCACAGAGCACATACTGCACATGCAACAAATATGGATTAATGACACATCACTGGGTAATTAGTTACTCATTAGGAATGATTCTACGTGCATTCCATGCAACTCGCCGCAGCACATTTCCTGCATCCACTGCAGCATCATACCTGACTTGCAAGCTTGGAGGCCTCCTTTGCATGCTCGATGTCTGGCCTCCCCAGGACGGAGCGCTCCCAGTGCATGTCCAGGTTGGCTTTGTTTTTATATGCAACCTGTGCCGGGAATCATCACGCGCACATGCAGGGACACACAAACACGGCACTATGTTCAGTGCGGCTCCCACTCAGCCCTCGGTCTGGCGCGTCGGACTTTTCAGCTAAATTGCCCGATTGAACTTTCTAAATGTTCTTAATCTAAACTAACCAGTTTCATGGTCTATGAATTTGGTCTATAAATTGTAATGAAGTTGTTCCTATGTTACAAAGAGGTCGCAAATCGGCAATTTAAAAACCAATTACACTGTATATACCCTCAACTGGATAAATGAATAGGGATACTGGATGCATGCATTAATGAATCATAAATTTATATAGATGCAATTAATATTCCAACCTTCCTTTGTTGACTGATTTCTGTTGTAAGAATGAGAACAGGATTTGTGATTTTGATTTCTGTTGGTGTGAAATACTAAAAATGACCAAGTAAATACACAGGACATTTTCTCATGCAACTCCCTGTAACTAAACTGAAAAACTCCTGCTTACACTGCTGACTAGTCTGCCCGCCTGCGTAGCGCTGACGATGTCCAGGCGATCCACCACCTCCGTGAACTTGTGCAGGCTCTCCTTCCCCTTCCTGTATGCCACCTGCAAAATAGTAATATCAGGCAGGCTTGATCAATGGTGACGGACAGCGAGCGAAAGGACACTTGGATGTGAAGAGAAAGGACCAGATATGGGCAGCTTAAGTTCAGCCCTACATGAAGTCCTCTGTAGTTTACCAATAAGATAGAAAAGCACTATTTATAGTAATGGAGGTATAATTTTCACAAGTGAAAACTCAAATGTTTGGAAACTCTCAGTGTCCAATGAAAAACATGTAGAAAAAATCATTATTTCAGGAGCATTAAAAAAGAAACTACTTTACAAAATAAACCTAAAACAATGCAATGAGACACCTTCAGCACCTCAAATGCTAACCAGTATAAACACGAATACTAATTAAACAAATGACTACATAAACCATCTTTTCATTAGTCAATTAGATGTCAAATGCAATCATTAGACAGAAGAGAACTGGTGTGTTCCGTCTATTGTATGAAGTCACAACTGTCAAAAAGTGGATATATCCTCCTGAGACCCAAGGAAAAAAGTGTCCTTCAATTATAGGATATTTGTCTTTGGAAGAAATAAGACATCTTACAATTGAGATTTTTTCTAATTTATTTTTATTTTTAATTTGACAGCATGTCCTCTTTAGTGTACGACAGGAATAAATATGTTTCCTTACATCAGTGAAAAGATAGATGCAAAACTAAAATGTCCACTACAATGGACATAAATGAATGGGTGGCGTTTCAGGAGGATATGCAGATTTCATTAGATAACGACAATATTTAGGCCCTCAAACTACTCTTATAAACCTTTACAGTCACATGAAGCCATGCAGTAAAAACTCAACTTTTTTTTTTTTTGAGGTTTGTATCCACACCAGTAAGGACACCAGTCCAGCTCCTGATGTCGCTATGAGCAGCATATTCAGAAGAATGCCCTGGGAAATGTCACACGCAATGAGAGATAATCGGGAGGGGTAATTACATCACTCTGATGCTTGTTGACCTCCAAAGCGTGGGTGACCTCTGGTGGTATCTTCATCAGTGTGTAGGAAGACTTCCCCTTTTCTGCATTGTACTTCTCCTTGTACAATTTCTTAAGGAAAAAAAAAGAATAAAAGATTATGGAAATTATGTTTTTTTTCCTTTGTTGTTGTTTTTTCCCTAATGCTGCAAATACCTTTTCCTTCTCCTTGCTAACCACCAGGTGGCGCTGATAAGCTCAGATACATTTCAGAGTTCACGATCCCTGCTTTGTGCCCTGTTTCTTGGGATGGGCTCCAGACCCTCCTGATGACCCTGTACTAGATGGCAGGTTGGAAGATGAATAGATGGCTGGATTGTCTGTTTCTAAAGGCTAGTTTGTATAGCCAATCAGCTGAAACACAGCAGTGCCCTTACTTAGGACAGCAAAGCCTTTACTATGGGAGATGTTTACAAATGTGTAGTGCAGGAAAAACTTGCAAAACATGACATATTTATAGAATAAACAAAAACAGGATACTTCACTAATGTGTGGTGGTGTAGGACACCTCGCCCAGGAGGACAGTCAGGTGACCACGCAGGTTTGGGTGAATTTCCACCCACCTGTTCCCTGTTTCTCCCAGTTTATATGTAAGTGTTTGTTTCTTTTCTGTGCCCATTAAGCCCAACCCCCCAGGCAGCTGGGCGTTCCTCCCACTCACACGGCCCCTTAGTTCCTGTTTTCCGCTGAAATGTCCTTTTCTGTTTGTTCACGTGGCTGTTTTTTTTTTCTTTTTTTTTTTCAGTTTTTCTGTATTCCGGAAACGTGATTCCAACATCCAATCAACCCAGGTCACTTAAGTTGCTAATCTTTAATTTATCAAGCTTTTCAGGCTTTCCTCTATCGACTCCTAGTGTCCTTTTCCAACCTCCAACTTACTCTCAGCATATGAATCATCCCAGTTCATTTATGTGTTCCACTCTACATTTCATAGCTGAGCAGGGAGTCTTTCCTAGGACTACAGAAAAACAGCCCCCTGTTTTTAACTGCCCCCTGATTCAGTTTTAGGTCATTTGATTGTGGTAAAGGATAAATTTAAAACTTTAAAGCGTTAAACTACGAGTAAATTAATTCCAGTTGACTTACAAATTGGCACCAGGTTTTAACTGCCTTCCAGCCCTAATTCCAATTACCTGCTAATTAATATGCAGCAGAAAAATGCCATCTAATTACTGACACTACTTGTCCTATTCAGGGTTGTAGGGGGTCCAGAGCCTGTGCTAGAGGCTACAGGCACAAGGCAGGGAGCAACCTGGGAGGGGGTGCACTGCACACTGACAGGCAGCTTAGTAACTGCAATCCACCTTCACATGGTTTTGAAGCGGGGGGGGGCAGTGGAACCCCACAACGACATGTGGAGAACATGCATACTCTACACACATGGAACCATGATGAAGACCTGAACACTGGTTTCAGAGGCATGAAGCGACAGTGCTAACCACTACACCAACATACCACCTGGAGAAGAACATCTCCTTTTTCAGCTACAATAAAAACACAAACATTTAACATACAACATTTAACATACAAGATGCCAGGTGTACTGCTTATGAATAATAATGCTGGTAATTGATGTTTGCATGATATTATATAGCACTGAAGGCTTATGACATCTGTAATACAAGTTGATAAATAGTAAATTCTATCCAGTAAATGGTATCTCCTAGCCTGCAGATTAAATCATTGTGTACTATGAGGAAATGAAGCAGGGAAGCACTTGTCTTTTGAATGAGCGAGGTTTAAAAAAAATCAACTATGCTTTTCTTTAAATTCATTTAGAGAGCTCTGCAAGTCAATATCTGATCTAGACACTTGTCATGTAAGTTAGATGAAAACATTTCCCACCGATGCTGCTCCTACTCTCCAACCAAAGACTTCCTTGAGTACTGGACTCCTAGTCTATCACAGGTGGTAAATGGACATCCCCCAAAATATTTAGCAAAAGGACTGATATTATTATGCTCTCCACCCCACCTAGAGAACGGCACTGCAAATACGGAGGAGGTGTAGGGGGCACTGCCTTAGTGACTCAGCGACCATAATAACCTCTGCGGGCGGCTAGAGCAGCATGTCTGTGAAGGAGACGCGACTCTCGCTAGGCTGTAACAAGTAACCACACCTGAGTAACCAAGCAGGTAGATGACTGAGTTATGCTCAGTCAAACTTCATTCATCAAACTTGTCTGTTATGGTGTTTGGAGCCCATCTGAGTAAGCACAAGATGGTGGGCAAGGTATCACACAATGACTTACTAAGAGCAATATAAAAAAACACTACCAAATTAATTGGCTGCGTTGGAGTAGAACCAGGAAGTGGAGTTCCTGTATAAAACCCACAAACTTCATTTTTACAAAGCCATGGGTCATTGGACCTAGAACCCTGGTTTTCTATGTGAGTCACTGTGCTTCCCTCAAATTCATGCAAGTTGTTCATACAATGTTAAAAAACAAGGCAAAACTACAAAGCTAAAAATACCCTCAGTACATGACTCAACCTATTCATCTTTGAAATACTGATGCAATGTGTGAAGTCATTTATCTCAGATGTTTAATGCTTCTGCTAACATGTAGCTGAGGCCCAGTGCTAAAGAGCGAATGGGGGAGAGAATCACCATCAACAACATCCACCCTCCCCCCCCCCCCTACACATTAAACAACACCCAGGCAAAGCGCAAAGGATACCAATCTCAACATGCCAGATGGCAAGCTGTACTCCATACTGTACTGCTGACTGTGTGGCTAAAAGTGCTGTGTGGATGAGTAGTTGATTCCACAGTGTGAATGAAACTGAGCCCAGGGTGATGGTTGGAGGGGGGGGGGTGGTGTCCCACAGCTGACACATTAGCTCAGAAGTGGGTGTCCAAGCTCGCCTAATCTGCTTGAGCCCTCCAGCCCGTTACTGTTTCAGGAGATGACACGGCTGCTGGGAGGTCTGATTACACAGCATCTCAGCTGGAGGAGGGTCTCACACACACCCACATGCAATCCACCACACCATAACCCATAGACCTTCTGACATTCTTCACGATATAATCATCTGTGATGTACATTATTCTGCTGCTGCTAATTTCACTGCTAAATCCAACATCAAGGCATCTAGTTACTACAATTTTTATAGCATGGCTAATTTTATAGCAAGCCCAGAGAAATGCTGACATCCGGTCAAGAGTGTCCCCTGTTCTATGCCCTGTACCTCTGGGAAGAGGTTCCAGGCTCTGACCTGTCCTGGATAAATGGTTATAAAAGATGAATGTTTGATAATTATAGCACCAAATTTATTGTGCTTGAGCTGGAATTCTAGAACTTCACGTTTACATAAACTGTTCAGGGCTACTTACATCGCTCTGGTGCTTTGACACCTCTTTAGCGAAGACAGTTTCAATTGTTTGTGGCATCTGGGTGTAAAGGCATGTGGTGATGCCCTTTCTGCCCTCCTCTTTGTAAGTTTTCTGCCCAACAAAACAAATGCAAGTAGTTATGCGTCACATGAAATGAGGCAAAAGCTTTGTGTGCAAATAAGGGAGCTCTAGGTTTGGTCACAAAGTACATCAAATGTCATCGAAACTGGCAGCTTGTGCAATATGCATGACAACATATAGGTCTCTTTGACTTTCACTATTTCTATTTCCACTTTGAACATGTTACAAATGTATGGTTTTACATGCTGATTTTAAAAAGTAAGGCTGGAGACAAATTTACTAATAAACAAAGTAAAATGTTAGTTATTGCAGTTTTTCTATTAGTAATTATTATAACTATAAATTATATTTACTTTTTGAAAATGATTCTGTATTCCACATTAAAATGATTTATTTAACAAACTAATTGAACAAACTTTTTGTCTGTAATTCACACTGGGTGTCAAGTGTTTAGTTGTGTGCAGCCAAACCAGGAATGACAGACGTTCAAACGACCACATTAAATATAAACAGGCCATTACTAATTCATGACTCATCACTAAGCAGGATGAACGCTGGACGCGGCACCTTGCTGTAGAGCTTAGACAGTTCCTTAGCGTGCTGCGTTTCCTTCGTCTGCGCCATCTGGGCATACAGGCAGTTGACAAAGTCCTTCTTCCCCACCTGCTTGTACTTACTCTGAAAAGCAGACAGGAGGCACTTTTTGCAAAAGCAAAAAATTTACAATTCATCAAAGGCTTGTCAGCCTGTCACTACTGTTAGGAATGCCTGAATGAGAAACGATCAGGTTCCAAGCAAACTGGAAGGAGCAGGCAGATCATGCAAATGAATTAGAACATTTTTTGAAGAAAAATGTTACAATGAAATACATTGTTTTCTTTTGTTTGTACAGAAGCTGACATCACCTTAACTTTTTACGTATATTAAAATAGTTGCTCTGATTTGATCATTTTTTAACCATTTTCCTGTCGTCAAAAGTCTTATTACTGTAGCAACTTTAAGATGAAATAACATAAAATTAGATAAAATGTTTTTAAATCTTTCAACATTATTGCATGAAACCCAAAATACACAATCAATTTGTATGATAAGATGCGTATTTCAGGTTCAAGTCATTTGTTGCTTTTGTCATTTTTTCTCTTCTCCTTAACTCTTGAATTTGATGAAATACTGTTCTCATTACAAAACTAAATGGTAATAAAATAAAACTAATTCATTATCCTAGAGGCAAAATTGAAAGTTTCATTTGAGTCTAGCTTCAAATTAATTTTAAAAATAAGTAAAAATATGGTCATTTAGTATTTAAGAATGACCCACTGTGTTAAGCAGGGAAAAGCATCGGGCACAGCGAGGAAGGATACTAGCTAAGGATGCTGCTTGCGGGAGCCAGTGAAGCGGTAGGGAGGCCAGCTAAATGTCACGTGGTCAAACAGTCGACCTTTGACCCCACCTCACTCAGAGACTGGGACAGTTCTTTAACAAACTGCATCTCGTTCGTTTGGGGCATCTGTGCGTACAGACACTTTGGCAGTTGCTGATGGGTGTCTCTTCTGTACTTTTGCTGAAAAGTAGAAAGAAGAAATCCCATGAAGGTGCGAAAACACAGGGTTTAAAACATTGCTTTTATAAAATAAGAGCAATACCCAGTCACAGTTCTGAACTGTGAGGTTTGTATCACCATATGATATTTAATACTGTCTTTGTGGAGAGCAGCAATGAGGAACTGCTTCCTCTTGCAATGGACATCCTGGATTGTGTCCCATACAGAGAACAAATGCCTGTTCCCTAGTGACCTCAGCCAGAGTAAGTAAAGTGATCACACACACACACACACACACACA